AAAACCCTACTTGCTATCAAGTAGATTCCAATTCATAGAGACCCTAGAGAATAGAACTACCACAGAGAGGAACTGCTCCATAGTGTTTCAGAGGCTATAAACCATTACGGAAGCAGAGTGCCTCATATTTCTTCCTTGGAGCCATTAGAGGGTTTCAATTGTCTACCCAGCAGTGAGCAGCACAGCACCTAACCTCTGCACCATCAGGCTCCTTTTTAAAGGAAGAAAGGACCTTGGTTTTCTGTCTTCTTTCTCATAGAAGGGCTCGAAGCCCGCTCTGAACAGAAAGTTAAAATGCCTGGTCTGAACTGGAAGGAGACAGGTGCCATAGCCAATATGGCTTTCCCCAGTGTCTAGCACACTTCCCAGCTGCCACCCCGAGCCCAGCAGCTGTGCAAAGAAAGAAGGGATCTTCTAGTATGTAGAAGGCATGGAGCCAGGCTCCAAGGGAGACCCAGAAACGAGCCAGCAATCTCTGCCTCACTAAAGCACACAGACTGGAGTCACAGAGGGTGGCTGCCGGGGGGCCACAAGACTGCTTCCTTCCACTGTTCCTGGCTGACAGAAATAGTGAACATGCTCAGCTGCCAATCAAAAGGCTGCAGGTTCCGATCCACCCAGAGGAGCCTCTGAAGAATAGTCGGGCAATCTGCTTCTCAAAAAATCAGCCACTAAAAACCATGTTCTACTTGAACATATATGGGGGCACTGTGGTCAGAGCTGGTTCAATAGCAATGGGTCTTTTTTGGCTCCTCAAGGTCCTCCTTACCTTCTGTCACTGACTCCTGCTGAAGGACCTAGGCACTGCTCAGATGCTGCCAATTCCAGAAACTTCCCTGAACACATAAAGGATGAGGCACGCTCTCCATTAACTTCTAAACTCCCAGGTGGTGAGGGCCACACCCTTCCACTGTGCAAAGGCAAAGGGCTGGCACACAGTAGGGGCCCACAGTTGTCTGTTATATGCCCGCAGGGGGGCTTTGAGTGTGAGGAGCTGGGGGATCCCTGGACTAAGCCAAAATGTGGGTAGAACATGCCCACAGGGCTACCACATTCTGGAAGGAATAGGCTCTGCTTTAACACAAAAACCCCTAACTCCAACTCGGTCACTTCCTGGCTATATCCTCCCCATCGGGGTGGTGAGAACCAGGGGGCTCTTCTGGTAGTGTAGTGGTTACGAATTGGGCTGCTAATCTCAAGGGCAGCAGTTTGAAACTACCAGCAGTTCCATGGGAGAAAGATGAGGTTTTCTGCTCCCGTAAAGATTTACAGCCTTGCAAGCCCTATACAGGGTCACATGAGTCAGAACCGACGCCACAGCACAGAACAACTAACCACCACACACCAAAAAGAAAACAACAACAAAAACAGTTGCCATGAGTCAACCCCAACTCAGGGTAATGCCATGTATGGCAGAGGAGAACTGTGCTCCACAGGGTTTATAACAGCTGGCTTTTCAGGAGACAGCCAGGCCTTTCTTTCAAGGTACCTCTGGGTGAACTCAGTACTTCCAACCTTTCGGATAATAGCAGAGCATGTTGACATTTGCACCACCTGGAGAATCCACCCTTAACACCAGGAACCCGCAACTCAGAAACACAAGCCTGGTCATCTAAACAGGCTCAGAAGTTATTTGATCTGGGCTACCATCTGCTGAGGACTTCTGGTGTGGCACTGTAGGATAAGCACAGGACTACAAGGTCGTTTTGAACCACAAGGTCGGTAGTTCAAACTCACCAGTCACTCCTTGGAAACCCTATACAGAGCCGTTATGAGTTGGAACTGACTTAATGGCACTTAACAACAACAACCATCTGCTGTGAAACACTAGGGTGGTTTCCCCTTCCTGCTGTCCTTGGGTCCACAATCAAAGCTCATGGATGCAGCAGGCAAGAAATCAATCAACATATTATGTTGGGCAAATGTGCTGCAAAAGACCACTTTAAAATGTTAAGAACAAAGATGTCACTTTGTGGACTACCGTGCACCTCACCCAAACCACAGTATGTTTAACCATCTCACATGAATGTGAAAGCTAGACAGTAAATAAAGAAAATCAAGGAAGAAATGAGGCCTTTGAATTATGGTGTTGGCAAAGAAAACCAACTAAACCACGGGCTGCCAGAAGAACAAACAAGTCTTATTCTGGAAGTACAGCAAGGATGGCAAGACTTTGTTCATGTACAAGCCATTAGATTAGGTGGGACCAGTCTGTGGAGAAGGATATCCGGCTTGGGAAAGTAGAGGGTGTACAAAGAAAAGGAAGGCCCCTAGTGAGATGGATTAACATAGTGGTTGCAACCATGGGCTCAAATATAGCAACAACTGTGAGGCTGATACAGGACTGGGCAGTGTTTCATTCTGTTGTACATGGGGTTGCTATCAGTTGGCACCGACTTGAGGGCACCTCACAACAAGCTCTCCCCGAAATAGTGGCTCTACTCAAGGTTTCTCTTCAGATAGCAGCAAGTTCCAGAGCCATCTAAAGAATATCGGTCAACAAGTAAGCAGACAGCTACCTGACCAGTAATACAGAGCCCGAGCCCACTGTCAAGAGGAGACAATAAGCTGACAGCAGAGCTGAAAGGCCCCGAGAGTTAAAACTGCTGAGATTCTAGAACTCCTAATAGGACCGGGAATATGGGATCTTAAGTACATTCAGAGAAGGATCCAGATAAGTCCGACAAGATGGGCCAGCGTTGTAAGAGTCACACCTGGCCCACTTACGGGATGTATACTATGAAATTGGTGTGGAACCTAAGAATGGCAGGTGAGAGGTTCCCAGAGAACAGGCTGCACAGGGGTAGCGCCTACAGGGACACCCGCTGAACCCATTCTACCCAATGAGGCCTGGAGTGCTGAAAAATCAGAATCCCCTTCCCAGCCAGAGAACATCATTACAGATGGTACTTCACCATGGACACCTTTCATTTCCTTCTTTATCAGTAATGTTTTCCTGCACCATGGTGCTGGGGAACAGTTCGAAATGACTTGCTCAGCCAAAAGCTGGCAGGACAGAGCTAATGCCTGGTAACTCCAGAGGCAGAGCCGGGCACTCTTCCAGACCCCAAATAAGCTGATGTGCCTGTAAGTAGCTTCTAAATCCTATAGCCTGCAGCCCCCTCCCCCGCTCCAGTCACACAAGGGAATTAGGGAACTCCAGTGGGCCAGGCCACAGGTCCGTGAGACAACACACCCGCCAACCCCAGCTGCCAGTGGAGGTTCAGCAGCTCCAGGTCCCCAAAACAAACAGGATAGAGTAATGATCCCAGAAAAACGGCCAGCCAAAAATAGCCTAGCTGGTTTCAAGAGGATTCTGGTAACCCAAGCATATCCAATTCTATCAGCAGAAAAAGAAAAATCAATGGAGCAGAGAACTGGAACTGCTCAGCAAAGCCAGGTTTCAGGAGTGCCAACAGCTCAAACAACCCCCGAGCCCAGCCCACGGACCCCACTCTCAGCCACCTACTCTGGGCCCTAACCCCAATCTGGGCCTGGATCTCGAAATCAGGTCCCCCAAATGCCTCATGGGGATATTTTCACCCCGCACAAGTGTTACATAGCTGGCTCCTGAAGGTCAAACGATTGACTGGGGAGTAAGATACAAAAGACACTGGTGGTGGCAACGATGGAGAAGGATGAGGAGAAAGAACAGCTCTGGATAAAATCTCCACCCCTCCCCCATGGCTGCCAGTGGCCCATTGAGTCAGGCCTGCCTGTTTGTTACCTTACTTCCTTCTAATTCATACCTTCACCTGCTCTGACTTGTACCTGCTGGGCCAGAGAATCCCGGATGCCCTGAACGTGTCATACAATCCCTCCAGTTCAGAAACAAGGAGCTCAGGTGATGCACTGGGTTAAGTGTTGAGCTGCTAACCACAAGGTCAGCAGTTCAATTTCACCAGCCACTCACCTAGTAAAACATGAGACAGTCTGCTTCCATAAAAATTTAGTCTTGGATCCCCAAAGGAATAATTCTACTCTGTCCTATAATGTGGCTATGAGTCAGAATCGACTTGATGGCAGTAGGTAATACAGGAATGGGGTGAGAGGGCAGGGGGAATATCCTGGGCAAAGATCAGTGACCATGGAGATGACCCAAGCTCCACACCATCCTTAAAGCTTTCAGAGATCAGAGGCACACAGGTGGGCTTCGATCTAGAACTCAAGAAGCACTCTCTCCTCTTAGTTCCACTCCAGAAATGAAGCATTTGCATTCAGGAGGGGATGGGAAATGAGCCCATATGAGTCCTTCCTGTTCACAACCTAAGTTAACTTAACGCTTGGCCATGGGCAACGAGTGGGTTACTCATAAGTGTCCACAAGGATCTCAATGGCTAGTTTTTCAGAAGTAGATCACAGGCCTTTCTTCTGACACCTCCAGGCAGACTGACCCTTCCAGCCTTTTGATTAGTAATTGAGTGCTTAACAGTGTGTGCCACCCCAAAACCGTAAACCTATCCAGTTGATTACAACAACACAGCCAACTCCGTGTTACAGAGCAGAACTGTGCTCCATTGGGTTTTCAATGGCAGATCACAAGGTCTTTCTTCAGAGGTGTTGCTGGGTAGGTTTGAATCGCCCACCTTCAGATTACAGTCAAGCACTTAAGCATGATCACCACCAGGGGATCTTCCATCCACAACCAAACCAAAACCCACTGCAGTTGAGTCAACTCACAGCAACCCTTTAGGTCAGAATAGAACTGCCCCATAGTGTTTCCAAAGCTGTAATTCTTTACCAGATCAGACTGCCTCCTACTTCTCTCTGAGCGGCTGGTGAGTTCGAACTACTGCGCAATGCTGAACACACTATGCCACCTGGGCTCCTTCCATCCACAAGATTACTTGAAAAATCAAGTTCACAGGTGTCCACCGATGGATTCCTCCTCACTTTTCCTCTTTTATTCCCTTCTCCAGCCTATAGCAGGCTACCGAGCAGGTTGCCAATGTATGTGCATAAAGAACGTGTGCCCATCCAAGGTGGCATCGGGTACCTACCTGGCTCTCCTTGCAAGCTGTCCCCATCGCTAGGCCAGATCTGCCCGGTCTTGCGGACACCCACGATGGTGGCCTCTGCCACCACAACCTGGCCCTGCCGGTGACGCTTCTGGCAATGCGGAGTGGGGGGGCTGCTGCTCTCAAAGGACTGTTGAGAGTTCTGTGAGGGCGACCGGCTCTTGTCGCGGAACAGGCGGTAGGTTGTGGGGCTAGGGGACACACGGCTGGACTGGCCCGAGGAGAAATCTTCCTCGCTGGAGGTGAGATTCTCATTGGAGCTGCAGTCTGGAGTGTACCCTCCACAGCTGTCCTCGAAACTGCGGGGGGAGTAGGACCTGCGCGGCCAGGTGAGGCGCTTCTCCGGCTCTGAGGCGCTCTGGCTGCGCAGGAGCGGGCCCTTGCCTTCGCCCTCGCCCATAAGGCCCCCGACATAGACACTCTGATAGGGCTGGTACTCCAGGGGCGGCCAGGGGGCCCTGCCACCGCCACCGTTGGCCTGGATCAGATTGTCCTTCAGGAAGCGCGGGTTCAGCTCGGCGTCCTCGTAGTCACCATCCAGGGCACAGCCGCTCTCCGAGGCCCGCCCGCGGTGCGGTGCCCTGGACGCGTCGCCGCCCCCCACGCCGGCCTTTTTGCGTTCCAGTTGCATGGCCTGACTGCCCAGGGCGCTGATGCGTTCAGACACCTCCTTGTCGTTGACCTTCACTAGACCGCGTTCGTGGTGGAACTCGACGTTCACATAAAAGGGCTTTTCGCCGTCGCTCCCCGCCACCGGCCCGGGGCCCTGGCGAACCCTCTCGAAGTTGGAGCGCAGCGCCGCCACACTGGGGGGCGGTGCGCGGTCCTCCGGCGCCGGCCTGCGCACCGCTGAGGGCCTGGCCTTGCCCGGGGAGCCCTCGCCGTCGGGCCGCGGCTCGGGCTCGTCGGTTTCGGCGTCTTGGGGCACCGGGCGCGGGGCGCGGGGCTCAGCGGCGCCGTCCGGGGGCTGCGCAGCGCGCCGAAAGCCCCAGCGTTGGCGGTCGTAGCTTTTCTTCTCCTTAGCCAGCAGCGTCTGCAGGTAAATCATGCGGAAGCGCTCCTGGTTCACCTCCTGCTCCAGGCGCCGGATGGAGGCCTTGCAACGCTCCAGCTCCCGCTCGATGTCGCCCACCGTGCGCAGCTCCATGCGCGGTGGCGCTGAGTCAGGGAACTGCGCGCGCCACGCCTCGGCGAAGCCCACCGGGTCCACCATGTCGCGGTGCGGCCCGGCCCGGCCGGAGCGCGTGGACTCACGCGGCCCGGCCCGACCCGGGGCGCACAGCGGCCCCCATGACCGCGCGGCGGCGGGGGAACAATGCGGCGCCCCGGCAGCAGGTGAGCAGCACAGCGCGGCGCGGGGCGGAGCCGGCCGCGCTATTGTGTGCGCTCCTCTCGGCCCGCTAGCCCATGCTGCCGCCGCCGAGCCCGGCCCGCGCCCCGCCCGCACCCGGCGCCGCAGGAAGGGGAGGGCCGGGGGCGGCAGCGGCGGCGGGCGGGCCTCTTAAAGGGGCCGCGCCGAGCTCCGGGGGTCGCAGGCCTGTCTTTCTGCGCGCCCCTTTCTGCATCCCTCTGCGCTGGGGAAACGGAGGCACGACCGCTGACAACCCGGCCCTGATCCCCCCTTTTCAAAGTACAGCTGACCGGGTCAGGCGCTGGGAGTGGGGGCGGGGGCCAGGCTCTCTGCAGGCCCCTCTCTCTTTAAAGGGGGAGGGGAGATTGGCCAGTTTGGTTGTTGAGGCCCCACCGCAACCAACCTGGTGGATCTCCCCTCTCCCTTTAAAAAGTACAGCTGAACTATCTACAATAGCCAAAAGATGGAGACAGCCTAAGTGTCCATCAATTGAAGAATGGCTAAACAAACTGTGGTATATACACCCAATGGAATATTATGCTATCTTGAAGAACAACAAGGAAGCTGCAAGCCACCACATAACATGGATGAACCCTGAGGACATTATGCTGAGAGAAATTAGTCACAAAAGGAGAAATACTGCATAGACCATTATTGTAAAAGAGTAGGAAAAAGAACCCACACTAAAAGGGGGAAAAATTATATATATATATTTGCTGATCACCAGGATGTAAGGGATGAGAGGAGGGGAGGGAGGGATGGAGGGGAAGATAGAGCACAGGGTAAGGAATAGACACAGAATAGCTTGGTTTGGGGGGGGCAATACACAAGAAGGGGGAGAGGAATGATGGAAGAACAAGGCTAATGGAAGAACAGTTAGGCAGGTTTGCATGGTCTAAGTGGAACAGAGGTAAATGATGTATGCACAACCTTGGAACAACAGGGCTCAGCATACAGGAATTGAGGCATGTTTTGAAGGGGTAAAAGAGGGGAATGATGTTAAGATGTTTGGCTGTCTTTTGAATCTTGGTTTCCCTTGCCTACCATTTTGTAAAATAGACACTTGGGGGAAGGGGGGGAGAAAGGAATAGCCAGAATCCTTACTGCAGAAAGCTTATAAGTCCATCTTCAGCCTATAACTGATTGGAATACCTTAAAGGGGGCTAGAAGTTGCCCAGTGAAAGAGGCTTCCTGTGGAGCCTTTACATTGCACAAGACCATAGGTGGAATCCAGAACCCCATCCAGAACTGACTGAGGTAGGAAATTTCCACTGGAAAGGATGAGCAGACCAGCCTGGAGTGGCTTGAAGAACCATAGATATTTTGTGAAAGAAAGACTGGCGGGAAAAATCTGAAACCAACAAAGGCAGTCTGATTGATTACTACAAGAACAAGTAAGCTGTTCACCCAGGAGCCATCAGGGCAAGTGGTCGGGACCCCTCAGAGCAAACCCCCTTCCAAGACTGAGACTCAAGGAGAATCCATGAGCAGGCATGTGGTCTGGCTGGTGACCACGTTGGTCACCAATAAGGGGAAGAGAGGGAAAAAACAGCAATGAATTTGTGAGCTAAGCCCGACCACATTCAATAGACCCCTGTGAACCTGGGTGAAGACCTGAATGGCCAACAGTATGGCAAGCCCGGGGATTCTTGGGCACAGAGGCAGTGACATGGCCACAGAGGACTAGGGCGAAGAGTGAAGGGACCAGCTGATATGAAGTGAGGGGCTATGCACAAGAACACCAATGCATGCAGATAGTACCCTCTTGACCTGGCATTGATGGCTAGATGATCAGAACTCGACTAGAAAAAGAAAGAAGAGGGGAAAAAAAAAGAGAGTAACCTGCTACAGTGTGATGAACTTTACCTATACTTATGGATGTAGTAGCTCAAAAAAGGGAACAAATTTTTACAGTGAGGATCACTCCCACCCCCTCGGTACATAGGGTTGACAGCAATGGGCAAGTTAGACATTGGCTACCCAAAATGGGCGGGGGGAGGGGGGGCGGGCGGCTATAAAGGCTTACAAACTTTCTAGAGGGAGCCTAGTTCCAGACTGGGCGGGGGAAAGTAGAATCACCACTGAATGATTTCCAATCCATTGGGACCGGGCTGGCAAAAGGAAATGGGATAAGACTCTTGTAGTACAATAGTGAATAATTGCCATCCGGTCTGACTGTGAGGTTAGGAAATATAAAGGTAGATGTTTTTTGACAAAAGGAGGAGAGTGCTTGATTTTGCAGCTCAGGAGAGGAGGTCCCTGGGTCCATCAAGTGAGAATTGATGGAGAGTGGGTCCCTACCCAGAGAGGCAGTGATGCCAGGGATGGAGACAGAGACAATGATGTAGACAGATGGAATGGATGGGGACACTGGACTCAGGGAGGGAGAAGGGCTGTATGCTGGCGGCCAGGGAGTGGGCCTGTGTGGTGTACCCTTTGGTTATTTGATGATGCATAGAGGGGATTGTAATCATTACAATGAGACGAAATAAGATAGGATGAGTGTAAAGCTGATGTTCTCCCATGTAAGCCTCACAATTTAAAAAGAAAAAAGAAAAAAGTACAGCTGAATTGGCTGGTCAGAGGTAGGCTCCAGGGCGGAGGGACCCCTGATCCTTCTGTACCCCACTCCCACCCCAGCCCAAACGCATACATCTGTCTTGGGACACCAACCCAGAGAAAGGTTGGACCCCACTGTCCCAGGGTTGGGGGTTAAGAAGAGTGATGAAGCCACAGCTCCCTGGCACACTTGATGGTAAAAAGGCATTCCTGGCCCAACTCATTCAATACCCACACCCCGTGCTTGGGCTCTCCTGGGCTGCATAGAGCAGTTAAATTATTTAATTTGGGGTGTGTGTGTGAGATGGAGGGTGCTCAGGGGAATAGGAAATCCTTCACGGTGGCCCATGCAGGGCTGAGCGGAACACAGGACAGAGTCACATAGGAGTGAAGCAAAAATTCCCACACTACCCTGCTCCAAACCAAACCAAATCCACTGCCGAGTAGTGCTTTGGAGGCTGTAAATCTTTACTGGAGCAGACAACTCATCTTTCTCAGCAGAGCTGCTGGTAGGTTTGAACCACCAAACTTGCAGTTAGCAACTCAACACCTAGCCCACAGCGCCACCAGGCTGCTGGGTGAGTAGAAAAGGAATGGGCTCGACAGCCTCCTAGCAGGTCTTGCACTGGCCTGGCTCTCCCTGATGGTCTTGATTTCCTGGGCATTGTAATGAGAGCAAGAATTGTTAAGTACCGTTGAGTGTTTTCAGACTCATAATGACCCAGTATAGGGTTTCCAAGGAGCAACTGGTGAGTTTGAATCTCTGACCTGTGGTTCAAAACGAACTTGCGGTCCTGCACTTACCCTACAGTGCCCCACCCATGCCTCCAATGGATGTGTTACTGCCCTCTCAAAGTTCTCACTAGGGTTGGTGTCACGCCCCACCCTCATGGACCTCCTCCTATTGTAGAATATAAAGAATTCTTGTTGTTTTTGTTAAGTGTCGTTGAGTCCATTCTGATCCATAGTGATCCTGTATAGGGTTTCCAAGGAGCAGCTGGTGAGCTTGAACCACCAACCTTGTAGTTCAAACAACTTTGCAGTCATCATGACTCATTAGCCCATGCTACCACACCAGGACTCCTTAGTCAATGTTTATTATCAATTATAACCATAGTATAATATATGAAAAGGAGCTCTGGTAGCATAGTGGTTATGAATCGGGCTGCGAACCGCAAGGTCAGCAGTTCGAAACTACAAGCTGCCCCACAGGAGAAAGATAAGGCTTTCTGCTCCCGTAAAGATTTACAGCTTCAGAAACCCTGTACAGAGTCGCTATGGGTTGGAACTGACTCGACGGCACGTAACAACAACAACATGAAATAGCTGTAAGTTGCTTAAACATAATTATTTCTTAGATTATATGAATATTAACAAAATTGTTTTGTAAAATCTTTCTACATTGAATTACAACATTTTTAGTAACTCAGCAAAGGGCTTTAAAAATATATATTGTCTCCTTTTCCATTAGTGGTGCAATGATTAAGCATGAGACTACTAACTGAAAGGTCTATAGCTCGCTCGAACCCACCAGCTGCTCTGGAGGAGAAAGATGAGGCAGTCTGCTTCTATAAAGATTTATATCCTCGCAAATGCTTAGAGCAGTTCTACTCTATACTATAGGGTTGCTGTGAGTCAGAATTGATTTGATGACAAGTGAGTTTGGGTTTTCCTTTAATTACTACTTCATTGTCAATAAAGTTATTAATGTAGTCTCACAAATACTAATGACCATAATATTATAGTTAAACACTAGAAAATTTAACAAAAACTCAATGACTCTTGAACCACAAGTTTTGCGGTTCAAACCCAGCAGCTGTTCCTTGGACACCCTACGAGTTGGAACTGACTTGACAGCATTTTGCAACAAAAATGAAAACACTGGCAACAGCAGTATGTGCTTGTTGCATGATTGTAAATGTCACTGTAATTGGGTAACAGTGACAACTCTGACCAGGGCGCATTAGAAGGCTTCAAAAAGTAAATGAGCATAAAATTTTAGCATTGCAGGCATATTGAAATGTGTAAGCTGGACTTGACCTTTTCCTTCTTTCTTCTCTTCTTAATGACTTTTTGCTTTCCTCCTGTATGATGTTCTGATGTCATCCCATAACTCTTCTGGTCTTCGGTCTTTAATGTTTAATGTATCAAATCTGTTCTTCAGATGATCTCTAAATTCAGGTGGGATATATTCAAGGTCATATTTTGGCTCTCAT